AAGAAGCCTGTATGACAAGACACCCTGTCAATCCCGAAGCCTGTCAGTATGTTGGGTATATTCTTAGGAAAGGCATATGTGTAAAGGCCCCATATAAGAAGCCTCCTCCTCCTGTTACTCTGGAGTGTGGGCCTCCTTTATTTAGTCTCGCAGTTGAAGATGGGATGGAAGGGGACTTGCATCGTACATGTTATCCCGGTGGAATTTGGAGTAATTATCCAAAGACCCCCGAGGAAGCGCCCAGAGAGAAAGCGAAGTAAAAGGTCCCAGCAGAATAAGGATATGCCCCATCCATTGGAGTCAAGGATGCAATGTAATTTGTGGGTCCAATTGGCTAAACTAACCAACACAACTGATTTTTGCCTTTCTGAAGCATATGACATGGAGAATCTGCTGTCCACATGTTTAATACCAGTATGTGTTCCTGTCACAGCAGCCAAGGAGTTCAGTCACCACGAGTTTAAAGAACATATAGGCTATGAAACAATGTATAGCTGGGGTCACATTTCCAAGTTTTTACCAACTGATGCTTTAGCTTTACATACTCCTAACGTAGCCATTCCAGAAGACTTACAATGTGCACATGTCACAGGGTGTGAGCAGAATACACCTTCACCTCATTGCCTGAAAGTAAGCCAAGAAAGGCTAAATTACACATCTTTCCAAACAGTGTCTTTTGGGTATGCAAACATATGGTTACCTAAAGGGTGGTTCTTCACATGTGGGAATTCCAGAGACAAGAGTATAACAACATACATACATCAGACCCAAGTGTTACGGAATGAAACTTATCTGCAAGGATGAGATAAGTCTCATTAGGGGGGAATAAAGTGGTACCTGGGAAAATATTAAGGATCCAACAAAAGAATGTGGGTAAAAAGCAGATGGCCCACCAAAGATTGTGTGTGAAAGGGAGGTTTGTTTTGCTTACAAGACAGCTCTTAAATTTAGGATGGCCAGACATCCTGTTCCCAGCTCTGCACATGATATATTACTAACTGCTTGTCACATGGTGTATCTAAATTGCTTAACACTTGATATATTACTGATTGCTAAAAGCATTCCAATATAAACGAGGAGCTATCGATTATAGATCTGTCTAGTAGTTTTCCTATGTTAGAATAAGGACCTATAGAATGTAACCATGTGAGGAATGTGACCTGCTCAGGAAATAACTCTGCTTGAAAGGTTATAAAAATGGTCATCAATGCCCAGGCTTTTGTTCAGAATCTTTAGCCACGATGGCTCTCTGAACCAGCGCAATAAACTTCCCTTTCCTGGAAAGAGCTGACTCAAGTCTTTCAATTCTACAACAAACCTTGAGTGTTTGTCTAGGCCTTGATATCTGTGGTTTAATCCTATTATCATATCCTGCTTCCCAGGTGATGGGGCTAATGACTCCTAGAGTTTGGGTGGGGTATGCAGATCTTCTCTTTTGTCTTCTTGATTGCTCTGGCTCCAACTTTCTGAGGGTTTTACATCTGCATTTGTATGGGGCTAGTTCTTGCTTGAATGCAGAATTCCAGAGAGTAGCTAGAAGAGATAAGAATGCCTTCTTAAATGAACAGTGCAAAGAAATAGAAGAAAACAACAGAACAGGGAGGACCAGAGATCTCTTCAAGAAAATTGGAGATATGAAGGGAACGTTTCATGCAAAGATGGGCATGATAAAGGACCAAAATGGCAGAGACCTAACAGAGGCAGAAGAATTAAGAAGAGATGGCAAAACTACACAGAAGAACTATACAAGAATGAGCTTAACATCCCAGATAACCACAATGAGATGGTCATTGACCTCGAACCAGACATCCTAGAATGTGAAGTGAAATGGGCCTTAGAAAATCTGAGCAACAACAAAGCTAGTGGAGGTGACAGTATTCCAGCTGAGCTATTCAAAATCTTAAAAGAAGATGCAGTAAAAGTGCTACACTCAATTTGCCAGCAAATTTGGAAAACTCAACAGTGGCCACAGGATTGGAAAAGGTCAGTTTACATTCCAATTCCAAAGAAAGGCAATGCCAAAGAATGTTCAAACTATCGCACCATTGCACTCATTTCACATGCTAGTAAAGTTATGCTTAAAATCCTACAAGCTAGACTCCAGCAGTATGTGGATCGAGAACTACCAGAAGTACAGGCAGGATTTCGAAGAGGCAGAGGAACTAGAGATCAAATTGCCAACATACGCTGGATCATGGAGAAAGCTAGGGAGTTCCAGAAAAACATCTACTTCTGCTTCATTGACTATGCAAAAGCCTTTGATTGTGTGGATCACAACAAATTGTGGCAAGTTCTTAAAGAGATGGGAGTACCAGACCATCTCATTTGTCTCTTGAGAAACCTATATGCGGGTCAAGAAGCAACAGTGAGAACCGACACGGAACCACTGATTGGTTCAAAATTGGAAAAGGAGTCCGGCAAGGCTGTATACTGTCGCCCTGCCTATTTAACTTATATGCAGAGCACATCATGAGAAAGGCAGGGCTAGATGAATCAAAAGTTGGAATTAAGATTGCCGGGAGAAATATCAACAACCTAAGATATGCAGATGATACCACTCTAATGGCAGAAAGTGAAGAGGAACTAAAGAGCCTCTTGATGCGGGTGAAGAAGGAGAGTGCAAAAGTTGGCTTGAAACTCAACATTAAGAAAACCAAAATCATGGCATCCGGCCCTCTCAATTCCTGGCAAATAGATGGGGAAGAAATGGAGGTAGTGACAGATTTTATTTTTCTGGGCTCCAAGATCACCTCACCTCAGATGGGGACTGCAGCCAAGAAATTAAAAGACGCTTGCTCCTGGGGAGGAAAGCTATGGCAAATCTAGACAGCATACTAAAAAGCAGAGACATCACCCTACCAACAAAAGTACGTATAGTCCAGGCCATGGTTTTCCCAGTTGCAATGTATGGCTGTGAAAGTTGGACCATAAGAAAGGCTGAGCGCCAAAGAATTGAGGCCTTTGAACTATGGTGCTGGAGAAGACTCCTGCGAATCCCTTGGACTGCATGGCGTTCAAACCGGTCAGTCCTAGAAGAGATCAACCCCGACTGCTCTTTAGAAGGCCAGATCCTGAAGTTGAAACTCAAGTACTTTGGCCACCTAATGAGAAGGAAGGATTCACTGGAGAAGAGCCTAATGCTGGGAAAGATTGAGGGCAATAGAAGAAGGGGCGACAGAGAATGAGATGGCTGGATGGAGTCACTGAAGCAGTAGGTGTGAATTTAAATGGACTCCAGAAGATGGTAGAGGACAGGAAGACCTGGAGGAATGCTGTCCATGGGGTCGCGATGTGTCGGACACGACTTCGCAATTAAGAACAACAACAAGTTCTTGCTTGGGGCAGAGAGATAGATTTGAGGCCAGGTTTGGTTTTAAAAAGTCCTTTTGGGGAAAAATATATTTTTCTGCCCTTTTTAATGTTTCCTTCTCTGGGCTAACTTTAAGGTGACCAACTGTCCTCCTTTTGGAAGGACAGTCCTCCTTTTTTGAGTTCTGTCCTCTCTTGAAAAGTGTCCTCCTAAATGTCCTCCTTTTTCATATACCGTCCTCCTTTTGGGAGGACAGTCCTCCTTTTGTGAGTTCTGTGCTCTCTCGAAAATGTCCTCCTAAATGTCCTTTTTTTGACAACTAATCTGCAGGTCTTTTGTTTCCTCATAGAACGCTCAGAAGGTGTTCCGGGACCTTTTTTTAATTTTTTTTCAACTTTTGCATCTACTCCCCCTATTGGCTTTTGAAAGCCAATAGGAATTGCTGCTGAGCACGCCAAAACACGCGGGCAGCAAACTTTGCACGTGCAAGTTGCAGGAACTTGCACCCCTCACTGCTACCCAACTACACAATCTCCTACTTCTTAGTTCCAAAGATAGCTGGAGAAGACTGGAGCGGTAAGTTTCACTTGATCTTCCCTGTTCGGTTCTATGCGGGGATACACAGGGTAGGCGGTGGTGCTGGGGGGCGGCTGGGGGGGGCGGCTCCAGGGCCAGAGCTGGCGCAGCTGGTGCTTTGCAAGCCACGGGGCCGGCTCCACCGGGATGTGCAGGGTGGATGGTGGTGCTGCCCCAGCACCACCATCCACCCTGCGCACCCCGGTAGAGCCAGCCCCGCGGCTTGCAAAGCACCAGCCGCGCCAGCTCCTGCCCTGCAGCCGCCCCCCCAGCAGCTGGGGGGCGGCTGCACGGCCAGAGCTGGCGCGGCTGGTGCTTTGCAAGCCGCGTGGCCGGCTCTACGGGATGGGCGGGGGGCGGTGGTGCTGGGGGGCGGCTGCAGGGCTGGAGCTGGCGTGGCTGGTGCTTTGTGAGCCGTAAGGCCGACTCTCCACGGCAGGGCAGCAGTGCTGGTGGGGCAGCTGTGGGCGGGGCGTGGCGGGCAGTTGACCTTCCATGGGCTGTGCCAGCTGGTGGTCTACACAGTGCTGACCTGTGCTGCCACCACCTCACCCTGCGCATCTACATCGCCATCCTGGAGCGCCTGGCTCACAACACCTGCCTCCGCCGCCCACCCCCGCACAGTCCAGCTGTGTAGATTTTTGGACACGTGAGAAATTGAGATTGAATATTGATACTCTAGCTGCAGCATTTGCCGTAAAATTCAATATGAAAGATATTTCTTGTTCAGATATTTCCAATATATTGTTAGAAGATGATACATTGACAAAAAATATTCATTCAATGGAAAAGTACTCATTTAAATAATTAACAGGCATGTAAGCATAATTACAATATAAAATGTTATTGTTACAAATGTTTTTTATTATGCACTTATCATATTATAGTGTATTCTGTATTATTGTTGCAATAAATACAATGTTTCTTTTATTTATGATATTTTTTTTCTTAAATTTATTCGTTTCCTCCTTTTTGTTGTAAAAAAGTTGGTCACCTTACTAACTTCCCTCAGGTACTTACATTAAAAATTCAAAATTGCTTTCAAAAATAGGCCTCTGTAGCCATGTGACTTGAATTCAGTCTCAGCTGCTGCGGTGGCCATTTTAACTCTGTGACTTGTCTGGGCTGGTTCGGGCCTACGAGAAGCCAGAAGTGTTTTTGTGTGTATGTGTGTGTGTGTGTGTTTGTATGTATGTGCCTGGAGACACAGCCAAGCAAGATTTTTGCAGCTGGCAGGTCCATTTGTTCTTGTTTTCCTGGAGCTCCGTGTGGAAGATCTGCTGCTTGCTGGGCTTGACGCCTGGGCTTGTAGAGAGCTAGAATTACTTCTGTAAGTATTTGAAAATATTCTTTTTTGTTACTTTATAGTCCTGTACTGTATTGTTTGTAATTGCTTTGGGAATTGCTCTGATTTTGATTGTTTTGTAGGTACAGTATTTTGCAAGATTGTTTGCATTTGCCTGAAACTTATAGCATGTGGCTGCTGCTTCTGCTCCTTTTCCTAACACAGACCCATCAGAGATTCTGCTAACACTTCCTGGAAGGAAATTTCCCTCTCCCCCACCCCATTTTGGATCTTGGCTGGAGAGGCTTGTCCTGATAAGGAGTAGTTTTCTTTTTTTAAAAAAAAGGTTTCAAATTTAAATTGCCTCCAGCAGTTGTGGGTGTTCTCTCACTGGAGGCTTTTAAGAAGACTCTAGATAGGCATTTATCAGAAATACAGTACAGTACTGTAGTGTATAGGCAGCCATCGGAGGAAATAGTAAATCAAATCTTTATTCATTTAATGACCCATTTGATTCAATTAATTAGTTTGATTTTAAAATGTTGTAATATTGAGTCTGATCCATTTGACGATTACCAGCCTAATGGGCAGGCTTTATTAGGGTCCTACCTCGGGGACTACATGTAGAGATAAGTTCAGTAAATATTGTAGTGTAACTCTTTGGTCCTGCCACTAGATGTCCTCAGAGGCCCACTTTGTAATTTTTCAGTTAGTTTAAACAAAGTTTAGTCCATTAACCTCCAAAAATAGTATAAAATTATATATAAAAAGAAGAAAATAGTTAAAACTCTCCAAACTTTTCTTTTTTTCTATTTCTCTTTTTTATATTTACATTGTAGACTTCTCTGTTTCCTCCAGACGCTTAAACTGCCGCCTTTATCTGGAGGCAGGATAAACTCCCCCCCCCCCGCAACTCTGAGAAATTGCTTTCAGAGTTTCCCCCCCAGAAAAACAGGTTTTCACACTGTAAAGAAGAAAAGGAAAATAGTTTCACCCCAGTCCAAAGTGTTGCTATGCTTGTATTAATCTGCTTTTCCTCCCTGCAGTCAGCAGCTTCTCACTGGCTACGTAGATGAGCCAGTCTTTCTCCTGCTGTTCCGGAGGGCTCCTTGGATCAAGCGGGTCACCATCCCGCAATCTACAAGGGTTCCCTCTTGGTCCGTCATTTCTACAGGGTGACTTTCAGTCTTTTTGGACCCACAGCATGCCGGGCGTGGGAACCAGAGCTTTGATTCCTTACGCCCGCCTCCCTCTTTCAGTGTCTGCCCAGAACGAAATGCATGAAGGTAATCAATAGTTTGGTGGTAAGAAATAAAAAGGATAATAAAGTATTCGGCCATAACCAAAACACAAGATCATAAAGTATGACTAGTAGCTACTCGAGGCACCTGACCTCTGTGGGGTTTAATGATGCTGCAAAGTTGGCCAGCTGGAGTTGCTGCAGGATTTATTACAACAGCCCCCAATTATTATGATCATGGCATTCGTTGGTTTTAGTTGCAGAAGATTGATCAACTGCACAGATCCAGAGACGGTTCTCAAACATGTGCTGGCCTCATGAAGATGTTCTCTTACTTGCAGGGGAAGTTGAGTGAGGGTTTTTTTTTCCATGACAGTGTTCTGATGATGGACTTTCAAATGTATTCAGAGACATAGTGGTGGAGTAAATAACCCCTCTGTGACCCACAAGATTCTCCTTTTTTAAAAGATAGATTTCATGGACATGGTATGTCATGATTTTCAAATAAATTCTGACATAATATCATGCTAGAGACAAACTGAATTACACAGTCTTTCTCAGTTAATTAAATAGCACATGATCAGAGGTGAACTAATTAATGTCAATTATTGTGATAATATCTTGTTGACAAAGTACAAATATTATATACAGCATTAAAAGACATATTGCTATTCTTTTCCCATCAATGGAGGAAGGAAGAAAAGAAAAAAAAACTTCAGGTAAAAAGAAGCAGGCAACTCCGGATCAACTAGAGAGCATCAAAGAAAAAGAACCAGCAGGACGATGATGGCGATGGGAACATTTTTGTTTGTTTTGCTGCTTGCTCTGCTGATTCTCCTCTTCCTGAGACAACTCTGGACTCAAAGACATTTGCCTCCCGGTCCTTTGGCTCTACCTCTCATTGGGACCTTGGGGGCTGACAGGATTTGGTTTCATGAAGATTATATCTTTAAGGTATTTCATTCTAAATAAGCAGTATTAGGCAAAATAATTCTCGATGGTTTTCTTTGTACCATTATTGCAGAAGAATATATTAGCCTAGTAAAATATTCTTGCATGATGAGAAAGTTAATTAATCAAATGATAGTGATGGCCCTTGAAGAGTTATTTTCCACATCATGCCAAAATATTCAAGGCATGACCTCCTCAATAACATTTCACAGGGCAGGATGTGAAATAATAGGGTTGAATTTTTAGAAGGTAGATTCTAATTCAATCTTACCAAGAAACCTTTAATAATTGGAATAAATCCACCAGAGAGAGGGTGGTTTCCCCTTCACTCTGCACTCTACTCAAATGAGATAGAAATTCCTTTGTTGAAGATGCTTTATTTTATATTCCTGCAGTGAACAATAGGTGGAACTTGGTAGCCTAAATGGCCCCTTCTAATTCTGCAGTTCTATAATGATTTCAAAAATTTTCTGGATCTGAATTCTGAAGGGTAGCATCTGTTTTAGATAATGATTCATATGTAGGCAGTTGGCGAATGAAGCAATATAACAGGTTTTTGTGCAGTCACTTTATCCTACACCAAATGTTTAAGCAATGTAAGATACCTAAATTTTAGCGTTCAGAAATAACTTTGAAGGAACACTGTGAGGGGGAGTTTTATTGACTTGGGCACTACTGTTGGTGGAAATATACTGTGGTAATATTCCTCTAATAGACACCATCATAATTGTGTGCTTAATCAAGTTGAAACAACACTTCTAAATAGTATTTTCTATATTCTTCTTCAGTCAGGAGCTGACTGTGGCTCAGATCATGAGCTTCTCGTTGCAAAATTTAGGCTTAAATTGAAAAAAGTAGGGAAAAGCACTAGGCCACTCAGGTATGAAGTAAATCATATTCCTGATGAATATACAGTAGAGGTGACAAATAGATTTAAGGAACTGATCTGATAGACAGAGTGCCTGAAGAACTATGGATGGAAGTTCGCAACATTGTACAAGAGGTAGCAACTAAAACCATCCCAAAGAAAAAGAAATGCAAGAAAGCAAAATGGCTGTCTGAGGAAGCTTTGCAAATAGCTGAGGAAAGAAGGGAAGCGAAAGGCAAAGGAGAAAGAGAAAGATACACCCAATTGAATGCAGAATTCCAGAGAGTAGCTAGAAGAGATAAGAATGCCTTCTTAAATGAACAGTGCAAAGAAATAGAAGAAAACAACAGAATAGGGAGGACCAGAGATCTCTTCAAGAAAATTGGAGATATGAAGGGAACATTTCATGCAAAGATGGGCATGATAAAGGACCAAAATGGCAGAGACCTAACAGAGGCAGAAGAGATTAAGAAGAGATGGCAAAACTACACAGAAGAACTATACAAGAATGAGCTTAACATCCCAGATAACCACAATGAGATGGTCACTGACCTCGAACCAGACATCCTAGAATGTGAAGTGAAATGGGCCTTAGAAAATCTGAGCAACAACAAAGCTAGTGGAGGTGACAGTATTCCAGCTGAGCTATTCAAAATCTTAAAAGACGATGCAGTAAAAGTGCTACACTCAATTTGCCAGCAAATTTGGAAAACTCAACAGTGGCCACAGGATTGGAAAAGGTCAGTTTACATTCCAATTCCAAAGAAAGGCAATGCCAAAGAATGTTCAAATATCGCACCATTGCACTCATTTCACATGCAAGTAAAATTATGCTTAAAATCCTACAAGCTAGACTCCAGTTGTATGTGGATCGAGAATACCAGAAGTACAGGCAGGATTTCGAAGAGGCAGAGGAACTAGAGATCAAATTGCCAACATACGCTGGATCATGGAGAAAGCTAGGGAGTTCCAGAAAAACATCTACTTCTGCTTCATTGACTATGCAAAAGCCTTTGATTGTGTGGATCACAACAAATTGTGGCAAGTTCTTAAAGAGATGGGAGTACCAGACCATCTCATTTGTCTCTTGAGAAACCTATATGCGGGTCAAGAAGCAACAGTGAGAACCGAACACGGAACCACTGATTGGTTCAAAATTGGAAAAGGAGTCGGGCAAGGCTGTATACTGTTGCCCTGCCTATTTAACTTATATGCAGAGCACATCATGAGAAAGGCAGGGCTAGATGAATCAAAAGTTGGAATTAAGATTGCCGGGAGAAATATCAACAACCTAAGATATGCAGATGATACCACTCTAATGGCAGAAAGTGAAGAGGAACTAAAGAGCCTCTTGATGCGGGTGAAGAAGGAGAGTGCAAAAGTTGGCTTGAAACTCAACATTAAGAAAACCAAAATCATGGCATCCGGCCCTCTCAATTCCTGGCAAATAGATGGGGAAGAAATGGAGGTAGTGACAGATTTTATTTTTCTGGGCTCCAAGATCACCTCAGATGGGGACTGCAGCCAAGAAATTAAAAGACGCTTGCTCCTGGGGAGGAAAGCTATGGCAAATCTAGACAGCATTCCAAAAAGCAGAGACATCACCCTGCCAACAAAACTGCGTATAGTCCAGGCCATGGTTTTCCCAGTTGCAATGTATGGCTGTGAAAGTTGGACCATAAGAAAGGCTGAGCGCCAAAGAATTGAGGCCTTTGAACTATGGTGCTGGAGAAGACTCCTGCGAGTCCCTTGGACTGCAAGGCGTTCAAACCGGTCAGTCCTAGAAGAGATCAACCCCGACTGCTCTTTAGAAGGCCAGATCCTGAAGTTGAAACTCAAGTACTTTGGCCACCTAATGAGAAGGAAGGATTCACTGGAGAAGAGCCTAATGCTGGGAAAGATTGAGGGCAATAGAAGAAGGGGACGACAGAGAATGAGATGGCTGGATGGAGTCACTGAAGCAGTAGGTGTGAATTTAAATGGACTCCAGAAGATGGTAGAGGACAGGAAGACCTGGAGGAACATTGTCCATGGGGTCGCGATGGGTCGAACACGACTTTGCAATTAACAACAACAACAATATTCTTCTTCTGGATTCCACGATTTCATTAAAAAAAATCAGAGGTAAAATATCATCCAATTCAAGATAGAAATAGCAATCGCAGTAGCACTTAGACTTATATATCACTTCACGGTGGTTTACAGTCCTCTCTAAGTGGTTTACAGAGTCAGCATATTTGTCCCAAACAATCTGGGTCCTCATTTTATCCACGTTGGATAAATGGAAGGATGGAAGGCTTATTTGACCTTGAGCCAGTACTACATTCTAACCACTGTGCCACTGTGTAGGTTAAAGCAAGGCTTTTCAACCGGGGCGCAGATACCACCAGTGGTACTTTAGCACCTGGCTGGTGGTACGTGAGCCCTAGCCAGATGTAGCGGGAGGGGGGGAAACAGCTAAAGCAGTACCTCACAGACCTGGAGATCAGCTGGAACTTGGCAGAATCTCCAGGATCGGTGCACGTGGCAATATGGTAATTGGAGCTTCCAGTGCACCCAGAAGAGAAAAGGAGGAGGAGGGGGGAGAGAAGGTATAAAGGGGGCAGTGTTTGGCAGGAGAGGGAGAAAAGGAATGAGAAGAGGCTTAGGAAAGCAGTGAGGAGAGACAGAGAAGCCGTGTGTTTTGGGGCCGAGGGTGAGTGAGCGAGCTGCGTTTGGACCCAACCTGAGCTGGGATAGGAAAACCTTTTTTTGTTTGGGGAATAGACATTGGATGTGGCTGTTGGTGGCCTTTTGTGGGGGGAAGAGTGGAGACCTTTAAAATGGGGAAAATAGGCTGCTAATCTCCTGGGGATACAACCGAAGGTGCTGGGAGTCATCTTTAATTATGGTCTGGTCCTTTTTGTCTTGAAAAATGGACTTGTAGAAACCCTGGAAAGATATCTGGATTCCTCAGAAGGAGCCTGTTGAGTCCTGAGTCAACGGCGAAAGAAGAGCACACATTCTGTTGATTCTAACAGCTTTTATTCTCATCAGCTCTCTCCGTTACAACTCAGAAGCTCGCAGGCCTCTCTGCCTCCTTTAATAGAATCCCCGGGCAAAAAGATAACAAACTGGTGCGCTTCCACGCCTTGCGCATGCGCGCAGGCCGGTGCCACTCAGTCTGGTCCCGGGAAGCTTGCACCAGCCCGGGACCAACACCCCTTCCCCCTCGGATGAAACTTAATTAAACTATATTGATAGATATACGCAACCTCAACACGAGTGTGGTGTGCTATTCTATGGAACCTGCACATCTGTTGCAGCTACTTACTAGCCACACTATAGCATGGTACCATGCTATTGTTTTGGAATTAAGTGCCCAATACTGGCACTTCCAAGTTCCCCAACAGCAGGCACCCTCTTCACCTCCCTTGCTTTGACAGCAATGTTACAAAATCTTCCAGGTATTTGGGAGATCTTTTAACCCTCTGTGACCTCCTCAGATTTTGAGAACTCCCTAAATCATCCTGTGCAGAGATTGTAGTGGAGTTGCCCCCTCTTTTAAACCCTGGTGGTCCCCGTGAACTGGGTTCTGTTGCCTGGTCTGCTTGCTTGCCCACCGGGCTCGTCAGACCAGGACTTTGCTCCCCACTGTACCTGGTTGATCTGCCTAACTGTAGGCTCTCAGGCCCCAATATGTTCCCACCAGTATTTGGCGTTTCTGTGGTACTCTCCAAGTCCACAATGGACCTATCAAGGGAACGCTTCCCTTCACTCCCAAACCCCGTAACGGGATTGTCTGGGGTTTCTGCAGTGCCCCAGTACTCGGTTGCCCCCATTCTATGCCGGAGGTACCAGAATCAGGATTTGCCTCTCTGACTACCTCCCTGTGTGTAGACTTCCTTTTGGAAGCAGTAGCAGCATTGGGCCAACTTATTTGTTTGTATGCCAGTTCTCTTGTGTTATTTGTGTTGTTTGGATGCTCCTGGTTATTCTCCCAGCTTGGAGTGCTGTATTGGGGTTGTGAATAATGAGTATGCCCCCTGGGTGACTCCCTGGCTGGAGTAAGCACTGGTGCCTGTATTGTTCCTTGTTCCCCTGAATTCCTGTTAGGGACACTTGTGGAACCTTGGGACAGGCCTTCCTCAGCCTC